AATAGGGCCAAGTAGATTTTGGAAGGGCTGCCTTTACAGCATAGCCTCAGGCTCTGTTTGAACTCTGAGCAAAACTCTCTTTTTGATTGCAATAAGGGCTTCATCACATGCACAGAAACCACCAGTAAATAATCAAGCAGTGTCTCAGCTAGCCCTTCCCTCACCTTGCCTCCAGGAGGCGATGGACCTCACTGAGTAGTATTGCCTCCAATAGCACACCCCAATTCTCTAGCATTAATAGAAAATAATGTTAATTAGTCAACTGAGAAGTTATGGGATTGCTTTTATATGAATCTACTCATTAGCTTATTGCTCTGATTGTCAATACTTGTGATTTATTGTATCTCAGGAACATTTAAAAACAAGATTTGCTTTTTCTTTCTTCTAATTGTTTCTTGATTTAACGTATTTAAGACTACAGGTGGATACAATTTTTTTTAAAAAAAATTCTGAACTTGTTTCGGTACCCACTAGATGGCAGTGGTTGATAATACCACAAAATGGGTCATGTAACAAATATAATTCATAGTCACTGCTACTATTCAGGAGGAGGAAAAAGTCTAGCAAGTGCCTAACAGTAGGGCTTATAAATGATCCACTGAAAGGCTGGGAATATACATCTGTCTCAAAACCTCCATACTCAATTTTCACCTCAGCAATTGGGATTGCATAAAATGCAGTGATCAGATGCAGGTGATTGGTGAAAAAAGTCAGGGCTTTAAAAGAACAGCTTAATCTTCACAAAACATTACCCATATTCCATATAAATTTGTTTTTAAAAAGTCAATAGAAAAATGTTCTTGAATCTAATTGCAATTTAGACTATTTCATTCTAGCAGTTCTCCAAGCTTGGTTTTAGTGTTTAGTTTTTAATTCTGTTAGATAACATTATCATTACAGAAGTTTGGAGAAGTGCAATTCATTGGCTGGCAAAAGTTATGTAACATTCTCTATGGTCATCCTTTAATATTCTTGGATGCCATTGCAGATGTTGTTTTGGAAGTAAGTGATGCCTTGTTGATAGATTATTTATTTGCCTGACAAGGTGGTGGTTTTGTATGATCTGGTGTTAATTGCTGTATGATCTGTGATGTTGATACCAGTGTGATGGCGTGGTTCACCCTGAGGACGCTGTTTTCATGTAATTGTGAACTGCTTTAAGAAAAAAAAAGGTTGATAAATAAATGTTGATTATTGTGTCAGAGAAAGTTCAGCACCGAGCTGATAGTCTTTGGTTATGTCTTTTGATAGGTCCGTAGAGAGAGTTGGAGTCTATATGTCAGTGATATGTCTAATCATTACTTGATTAGAGTACTTTACCTCTAAGAATTCTCTTGCATTTTTCAATATAGCTTTGTTCTATTATTTCCGATTTCCCCGCTGAAATCATGCTCAAGGTTATCTTGAAAATAATTTCTCTGGAAATTACGTTATGTCTTTTGACCATTAGTTGTCAATACATTCTGCTAGGTTTTTTTAAAAAAACTTATATTTTATGTCACGGGTGTCAAACTCGATCACATCACAGGCTGAATCATGATATATTGCAACACTTTTTGCCTTTGCGGAGCTGGGCTGGGCATGGCCTGCGCATGACATATACTGGTACTGGGTCTTTGAGTTCACTTCGGATGCTTTGGATGGACTTCATGGGTTTCTGTGCCATGGTTTCTTCAAACTGGAGGACCTGCTAGTGCAGGGGTGTCAAACTCGTGGACCACGGGTCGGATGTGTCACGCATTGGCCACCACCACCACCCCCCAGTTTAGCAAAGGGGGAAAAAGTTGCGATATATCATGTGATGATGTGACAACCCCTGTCCTATTGTATTTGAGATGCCTTTGATAAAGAGGATGCTTGTCCTTTTGTGGGTTGAGATGTTTCTGTCTGTTAATTGCATTGACTTGCACTTTTGCATAAAATTGCTTTCATTGGAACTGAAAACCATCATTGTTACTGCTGAACTGTAACCTGATCCCCAAATGTTGAAATACCTTTCTCTTGTATTGTTAAAAGATAAACCATAGAGATCTTTCAGATGAAGATCTGTTAGTAAAAAGAAATGGTGATCATAATGTTGGTTTAAGATAAATAAAACCTAGGCTACCAGATCAAGGCTGAAAGACTTTAGATAGCCACTAGATGGCAATCAGGTCTTATCATCAGCCATAGACCTGGCTTTTTCTTCAAATCTATTCTGAGCCATACTGTAGAAATTTACTCGACTGGCTTCAAGCCAATCATTATTTCCATTATGAATCCCAATACTTGACAAGATTTTCTTGCATCGATAAAATGGAAAATGAGAGTGCCATCTAGCTGGTGATCGAAAAAGAGATGGGAAGGAAGACAGGAAGCTACATTCTTAGAGGAAAAACAGAATACAAAGAAAATGAATGTCAGGGGCATGATTTCTTATGGCATATTAGGTCAGCTTTAGCTAAACCAATGCCTCTGAATATTTTTCACTTCATCTTATATCAACCCTGCTAACGTGGCTAGGTAGTTGGAAGATGTGCGTCAACACATGTAGAAGGGACTAGAATAAGGAAGGCCTTGTAATTACACGTCATATAAGATATATTACTCTTTACTGGATATAAATTACAATGAGATGCAAAACTGTTGCTGCTAAGTATCATCCCTGATTCACTGGCTTATAGATTGGCAACTGTTTTTGAGTTATAAAAAAACATCTCATTGAAAATTGTACTGTATTCTGACTCCTCTTGTTTTTTGCTTTTCTCTCAGACTTCTTTATAACAGAAGGAAGTCTGATAATCTTCTTAAAGGTAAAATGTAAGCAATCTTCGTAACCTGATATTGGCAATATGTATATATTTTAAAATCCCACTCCCAAAATCCCACTCCCAAAAAAGTATAGATGAATCGTGTAATACAGGTAGTTTTCAACTTATGAACACAATTGAGCCCAATATTTGTACTGCTAAGCAAAATATTTCTGAAGTGAGTTTTGTCCCATTTTATGACCTTTTTTTGCCACAGTTAAGTGAATCACTGCAGTTGTTAAGTCAGTAATGTGGTTGTTAAGTGAATCTGAATTTCCCATTGACTTTGCTTGTCAGAAGTGAGGCTTGTCAGGTGACAAAAGGTGTTAACAGGATCCTGAGATACAGCAAGTGGGTTAGTTGCCATGCATCTGAATTTTGATCATGTGACCATAGGGATGCTCCAAGGGTCATAAGTGTGAAAAACAATCATAACTCACTTTTTTCAGTGCCATTGTAACTTTGAACGGTCACTAAACAAGTTGTTGTAAGGTGAGCAGAGGTGGGTTTCAGCAGGTTCTGACCAGTTCTGGAGAATTGGTAGTGGAAATTTTGAGTAGTTCAGAGAACCGGTAGTAAAAATTCTGACTGGCCCTGCCCCCATCTATTCTCTGCTTCCCAAGTCCCAGCTGATCGGGAAGAAATGTGGATTTTGCAGTAACTTTTCCCTGGAGTGGGGTGGGAATGGAGATTTTACAGTATCCTTCCCCTGCCATGCCTGCCATGCCCGCCACGCCACACCCACCAAGCCACGCCACGTCCACCAAGCCATGCCCACAGAACCGGTAGTAAAAAAAATTGAAACTCACCACTGGTGAGCACCACCTGAATAAACAAGCAGAGGGTTTTAAGGCTATAATGTATAATGTACATTGTTTGATTTAAAAAAAACCCCAACAACTTTAAGTTGCATGAATAAGAGGAACTATGTATATTTGTTTGTTTTTTTAAAAAATAGTTATCTTCATGCCATATTGCAAATTGCCTTTCAAACTAATATAAGTTACAAACACAATTTGCAGTATGACATGATAACCATCTGGTAAGGCAAGTGTCCAATACAAACCAAGTAAAGAGCTTCTATCCTAGCTCTTATAAGTTTGTATCTTATAGTATTTTTCTCTTAAGAAATTATAAATTAAATATTGATCTATAAAAATGAATTGTTTGTGTGCATTCCCTTCCAGTCAGACAAACACAATTATTAAACTGATGGGCATATCAAAATTTTATCTCGTTGCTTTGTGAGATGGAAGGACCTATACATATATACACACATACAGATAATACTGTGTGAGTATAATGTGTATATATGTACAGGTTTGAAATTACCCCAGAAAATCAGACTGTATTCTGTACAGGTTTAATTCAATGCAGGGAGAAAAAACATTCCATTTCCAGACTAATCCTCAGATTACAGGTTGCCTGTAATCGAAATAACCATGTTAGCTCAGAATTCTGAATTATATTCTCAAAACATCTAGAGGGCATGAAGATAATATAAATTGGTTTAGAAATGCAGTATATTACAGCACTCTGCTAAAACATTATTCTTCCTTTTTTGACAATTCTCATGATGGGATGCCAAATTCTTGAACTTATTCTCATTGCGAGCTCATAAAAGTATTCATGAGACCTGTCTTTCATGTGCCATCATTCTCGTAATAGTCTGCTGTTCTTTTCCTTCCCATAATTCAGTGAAATCCCAAAGAAAACATCCTGGGCATTTTCAAGGCAAAACGCATGCAATGCCAAAGGAGTTTCAGATTGTTGGATAAAAATAATAAAAAGAGAAAACCGCTTTGCTACTTTTAAACAAAAGAAAATCAGAAGTACTTTATTTACATTTCCAAATAATTCAGAGCACATAGATCAGTTTATATTACTATATGCCCAGTTCAGCTAAGGGTGATACAAGCAAAAGCAAGTTCTGTGTGTTTCTGTGGACTGGGAAAGGGTATTTATAAACACAACAGCACAAGTGATAGAGTTATGTGTCTATCATTTTGTGTGAAAGACTAACATTAATAGTACATGTAATCTTTGCGCACCTTTTATTCTGCAGCTGTCAAGAGGTCAAGGAGTATAAATCAAGTTCTTATTCGGCAAGAAGGTATGTAGTTGGCACACAAGCCTGTTACATACCAGTTCCAAGTACTGTAGCTGAGCAGGCAAGGCCAAAGCTTTTGAATCCATCAGTCAGTGGAACTTGCTTCCAAAGTTCTCTTCTGAAATGTACGGTATATGGTTTTCTCCATATATTAAAGGTAGGCTTTGGTAAGTTACTGATTATAGAATTTTCCTACATTGTTGTCTCTTTAAAATCCAGTAGTAGAGATCTTTAGCTTACAATGGTTTATGTTTTGTTGTAAGAATGTAATAGCAATTGGGAAATAAAGAAATCTGAGCTACGGTTACTTAACAGTAGATATTTGATAGTATCAAATCTGACTTTTAGAATCAGGAGTAAAATATGATTCACCAAAATTTAAAGCATGGCTCATTTTGAATAAACATACAGGTAAAGTTTTGCAGAATTATCCATAGGTATTTTTAATCCAACATCTTATTTGATAGAATAGTCTAGAAATTATCTCTAAATATCACTATATCTTCTGCTGGTGCTGCTGCTGATTTTCTTCTTCTTCTTCTTCTTCTTTTTTTTAACCAGACTAACTTTTCATCTGTTTTTCTACAATCACTCTTGCACTAACTGCTGTGATATAGTTGCATTCAACAGCAGAAGCCTCAACTTTAAGAAACACAGGATTTTCCCATCACACTTAACTGGATCAATAAGGAAGCTATTGTGTTGTTAGTATATCAAAAAGGAATCAATTAGTTAACTACACCTCCCCCCCCCCCAAGATTAACCGAAAGAGTTTAACCTCTAAAAAACAAAGTTAAACTAACTCCATCTGTTGGTCATATCATCAGAACACATGAACCCAATCAATTTTTCATACTTATTCCAACATACAAAAGAGCACCCTTCCCCCCCCAATTTTTTCCCCCATAATACAACTCACTGCCAAAATCTGGCAGTACAGAACACATATCTAAACATTAATTATCTGAGTTGGCCAAATATACTTTCTGCTACCTGATTTTTCTTCTGCAGAAGGACTAGTGACATCACAAAGTTTGCCAGGACTATGCTAGTGCAAAGGCTTAAGGGATACTAGGCACTCTCTGAGAAAAAAAAGTGATTGATTGCAAACTGAATATGAATCAATAGTGTGACAGTTCCACAAAAAACAAAAATTAATCAACAGAAATCTATCATGGGACATAGTACTTAGAGATTATATTCTGAGTGGCTTAGTTTTTATCTTGAATATTGTGTGTAATTCTGGGCATGACACTAAGAAATTAGACATGATTAACAGAGAGCAGGGGTGTTAAATTGGCAGCCCATTGGCCAGATGTGTCACATGCATGCACGCCCACCATCGCTCCACAAAGGCAAAAAACATCACAATATGTCACAATATGTCACAATGTGTCATATGACACAATCAGGTTTGACACCCGTGATGTAGAGGAGTATCGATGTTTGAGGAGTTCCAATAGGGGCAAATTTGGTCGTGCAATGATTCCTGGTGGTCAATGTAACTGGAAATCCAAATACAGGATATATATTGTGCAAAATTAGAGATCTCGCCCCTCCAAGAGGGAGGATGGAACTCATGTCAAATCCAATATCTGTGGTCATGACATAATGTAACATCTGCATCTCACTGCTCAAGGGTTTAAGGAGAGGTGAATGTAAACATCTTTCTGATAACTGTAGACTTCTCTTCTTGCAACCACTGAGCGCCTGATTTTTCCCAAAGCTGTTGTACTTTATCTAATCATCTAAAATGAGAAGGGCTGTGAATTCAATTCCTAGGAGAAGACTTGAACCCCATGGAATAACATCTGGCTACCCGTGCCTGAGGAATCCCAATTAAGACAAAAGCAGTCACCTGGCGCCTCTTGTGGTCAGTGTGACTGACTTTTCCAGCTTAGAAGGTAATCTTCTAAAGAGAACAGGTGGAAGGAGATGAAAATAATCACTAATATTTATGGATAAATCTTCATTAGCTGATTTTTACATATAAATATTTGATGCTTACATATAATTTAATGTCAAGATTGAAAGTTATAAATAGTTGGAAGTCAAGGAAGTTCCATTTATTTACATGTACCATACCTGAAGCCTCCTGGAACCAAAAATGGGGTGCGAGGGCAGGCCACACACACACACCCGCACTCCCCCCGCCCATGCATGCCTACGCTGTTACAGGTGTTATGTCTGCCTTGTATGCAGCTTTATTCCATTCTAGCATTCATCTCCATTGTTCAGTGATGCATTTCCTGCCACTCTAGGATTTACCTCTATCTGCTCCTGTGAGGCACTTTCTGTTCCTGTTGGATGTGTATAGTTATATTCTCGATGGCTTGTATAGTGTTTTAATTGCATTTTGATTAAACAACAGTGCTGCAGAGACCTGGAAATCAGGTGGCCGGTGGCAGAGCTCAGCTGGGGTGAGGACTCACATGCCGGCAGAGAGGCCTAAGCGTGCCGCCTGTGGCCCGCATGCCATAGGTTCACCATCACGGCTCTAGGGATTCTTCCAATATTTCTACTAGTGCAGTCTAACTGAGTTTTAGTTTTACTATGAGAAAATTCTTCACACTCAAGCTGAAGGAGGACTTAAGTTAAAAAAAAACTTAATCCAGAGATCATCAAGTTTTTAAAATTTGAATTGGAGAAAAATTATTGTTTTCCTTTCCCTCTCTTTAGCTGCCTTCTCATTATTAAATAACTCACCCACCAGGTATCAGCTCCCCAAGGCACCTATTTTTGTTAACTTATTAAACTGGTTGCATAGACTATAAACAGCAGGAGCCCATTGGGCACAATGCCTCTTCTCCATTATCCATTCGGTCTGGACTGCCATTCCACAACATATCAGTATAAAGGAGGCATGGACAAAGAAGTGGATTCTTTTCATTTCAGACAGACTGGGGCTGTTTTTGGTGATATAATTCTTTTTTAACCAATTCCAAGTTAAAACTAAGATGAGATAGAAATAAGCATGTCTTTAAAGCAATAGTAACGGAATACTACACAATATGGGAGAACTGGTATGACTGGATTGAGAACAGAAAAATGGAAAAGAAATAGACAAAATAGAAGTAGAATTAAAATGTATAGTAAAAATGTATAGAATGTATTTGAATTGGAATGTTACGGTATGTAAATGGTCGCAGTTATGCATAAGATGTGAGTAAGATTTGTTTAATTGTAAAAATGCAATTAAAAAAATAGTAACAACAACAGTACAACTTAAAGTATATGTTGTATTTTTGTAGATGAGGAGACAAATCCTAAATCAGATCTATTTTTAGATGTATAAAATAGAATGATTTATTGTAAACTTTCCATTCAAAAAGAACCATTGCAAAATATCAGGGGTGAAATTCTCCCAATTGGGAGAATCGCCCGATCCAGTAGCGATGGCGGCGGGTGGTTCAGAGAACCACTAGCAAAAATGTGTGCCATGCCCAGCTGAGCCGCTCAATCACCAGAGGCTTTTTTTAAAAATTTTTAAAAGCATTTTTTAAACAACCTCTTCGGCCGAAAAAATGCTTTTAAAAGTAAAAAAAAGCCTTTGACGATCGCGCAGCTCAGCTGGGAACCTCAGAGGCTTTTAAAAGCATTTTTTCTATAAAAAATATTTTTAAAAGAAAAAAAGCCTCTGACGATCAGGCAACTCAGCTGGGATCATCAGAGGCTTTTAAAAGAAAAAAAAAGCCTCTGACGATCAGGCAAGTCAGCTGGGATCGTCAGAGGCTTTAAAAGCATTTTTTTTACAACCTCTTCGGGTTATAGAAGAGGTTATAGAAAAAATGGTTTTAAAAGTAAAAAAAAAAAAGTTGGCCATGCCCACCCAGTCACATTACCCCCATCACCACCAGCAAGCCATGCCCACAGAACTGGTAGTAACAAATTTTACATTTCACCACTGGGATATGTATTCTTGTGTGTGTATGTGTGTGTGTACATGCATTCTGATTTGTTACACTGTCAGTCAGATGTTTAGACTGGATTTGCCATTTGTATTCACTATCAAGTTTTTCCCAAGGACATTACTATTATTACTTATGTAATTACATTTATTGGCTGCTCAACTTCAGTAGATTCTGAGTGGCATGTCTGTATTCCCATGGAACCCCAAAATAAGAACACCATGAAAGAATTCAAAGCCATTACAATTTGGAACTCCACATCAAAGTTACTAGGAAAGTCGTTCCTCAGCTGAATAAACATTATGGGGTGGGGGTGGGGACAGAGATTATCCTCTATCCATGGTTTTTTTATAGTTACTCTTCCTAATTGTCTTGCTGCTACCTCATACACCAAATATTCAAGAAAGCTGACATGGTAAAGTTATATACAGCATTGAAGTGACCTCTTTGCAATGAGGATGCTTATCTATCCAATAAAGCCCTAGACAAATGACAGTGACAGCTGCCTGGCAGCATTCACTTTGAATGGAACAGGATTGTCAGTATCATGATAGCATATAGCATCAAGACAAACATCTCAAAGCCCATTTTGGAAAAGGGAATATTCTTTTCTTGGTTGCAGAAGTAGTTTAGGATGCAAAGTTTTCTTCTTATGGGATGCATACCTTTTTGGCTTGCTCTTGTTATAGGAATCTTCTGAAAGCTCAATGATTTAACCAGGTGTTAATAGTTGGCAGCTACAAAACGAAATTTGGGTCAGCAGAAGCAGCAAAAGAAAGAAAATTATGGGGGGAAAGAATTCCAAGGATCAAGGAGAAGAAAGCACAATGCTAAAGAAAAGCCAGAAGCTACCTCTTTGGGAAGAAACTCTTCTTTCTGGAAAAGATCCCAAAACACTGTTAAAGCGTGGGCTGCACTATGTCAGTCTGAACCTCATCATGAAGGGGATGATAAAGACACCTAACTTTTTATGGGGACTACCACAAGTCCAGAAATTGAATCTTTCACACAACCGACTGGTGGCCCTTCCTCCTGCTTTGGGGAAACTTGAACAGCTGGTGGTCCTGAACTTGTGTGGGAACCGCATAAAGTCCCTGCCTAAAGAGATTGGACTGCTTAGGAATCTGAAGGTTTTGTTTGCCAATATGAATTGCTTGACTGAAGTTCCGTTGGAGCTTGGACACTGTAAGAAGTTGGAAATTTTGAGCCTCTCACACAATTACATCTCTTGGTTCCCTTCTAGCATTGCAGAACTGGTCAACTTAAGGAAGCTGAATATGAGCAACAATAGGTTTGTTTATATTCCCATGAGTGTGTTTGCGTTGAGAAATTTGGATTTTTTGCATGTAGGCTGCAACAAACTTGAAAACATTGGAGACAGTGTCCAGTTTCTAAGCAAACTGCAGATCCTGATTGCTGACTCTAACAACATTCATGCATTGCCAAGGTCTATCTGCTCAATCACTACTCTCGAATTGCTAAATGTTGATTACAATGCTATACAAGTACTTCCGTATGAACTTTATTTGCTGAATCGATTGCCCAAAATTGCTTGGAATCCTCTGGATAAGGGACTCCATATTTTGCACAATCCTTTGTCAAAACCATTGCCACAAATTATAGACGGAGGAATAAATGCACTCTACAAATACCTTAAAGAGAAAAGTCAGCTTGCATAAATATATACCTTGGTTTGGAACAGATCTGGTAGAAATGCCTCAATTCTGCCATTTATTTTTTTCTGGTCAATGGCTTTTAATATACAAAACAGATACTGGAATACAGTTATAATTGGGTTTTTTTTCTGGAAACAGGTACATTGTCTATGGAATATTTTTTTTCCTAAATAAATGTATCCTTTGAATACTGATGTAGGAGTCAGAATAACTCTCTCCAGTAATTTAAATATTTATCTGTATTTAATTGTCAATTAAAATAATAGCAACAGGATTTTAAATATTTTTTCTTCTTCTGTAAGGCTTCACTGGTGTTATTTTAAAGGGCATGAACTGAGCTGTTATGCAGTTGTGACTATAACTCTTACTCAATATGTTATGCATAAAACTCACATATATATGCCATTGCTACTGAAACACCAAAAACTAGAAGATGAACTGGTATTTTAGGAAGCTTTTACTGGTATATAGTCACTGAGTAATTGTTATTGTTATATCACCTGTCATGGTTTGCACTTATTCTATTCTTCTAGTTCATTAGAAAACCAGCTTCCAAAAATCATGATAGAATTAAGTTTGCTGCTAATGAGACAAATGTCCACATTCGAAACTACTAAGAATTGCAAAAATAGTTTTAAAACTCAATACAACAGAAATTGGCATGATGAGAGAAACAGTAAGAGACAGCACAGAAATGTGTTCTGTTGCAAATACTAGGTGGAATCCACACTTAGTTGCATGAGATTTGAGCAGTGGGGTCATTGCATGTTGTGATGCAGCTTATAGTACTGAAAACCAACTGCATTTGTTTCCACATAACCCTTTCAACCCATTTTTTTTTAATATGAGCTGCAAATTATTTTTCCTGTTCTTTGACTTCATTTCCCTTAATTGTGGTATGGCTTGTGCATAAAAAATATCCCAGGACAAGTCAGAGAGATGTCAAAGTACTGTAGAGATCTTTTTATGCTTTAGGCCTGGACACCTGTAATACAGTTCTTATATTATACAAACTGATTCATGGGATTATTTTGTGGCAGCATAAAGAATACTGTAAATAATTACCCGGCCTGATTCTTTCATCCACTAACTTTCTTAAAACTCAAGTAGTAGCCATTCCCACGCTCAAACATCTAAGTAAGGAAGATTAAGGGGAAAAATTTAGTTGTGAATCTACTTCTGTTGATACCCAAATTAATCTACCTGGGAAGGCTGTGAATATGAATACAGTAAAAGCCTTGGTAATGATGTGGTGTTATCTGTCCATTGTATCATCATTCTACGAAAATGCAATGCACTCTTCAAGTATTTCCATTTTTATTCCACTTTACAGAGAAATAAATTTTTCTCAGTGTTGTGTTTTTCTCACCTGTCACCATTACAGAATAACCTCCCAAGGGCTGACATTAGAGTTGAAATCCTGACAGCTTTTTAAAATAAAACTTTGCTTCAAAAACAAAACTCTGTAACTGTGAAATGCACTTTCAAAACACTAGTATTAGCAGTTTTAGCTATTTCCCTGTGTGAGATGCAGCAGTGCAGAGCAAAGGGTACTGACAGATAATTTGGGACTAACAGCATATTCAAAGGTAAGCAGCTGCCTAGTTTGCAGAGGTTGTAAACTTGATTTGTATCTTACTTGGAGTTGTATGTGTAAGAAAATTAATTCTAAATATGTATATATCAGTTTGAATTCTATGGATGCTATTAGGAAAAAGAGAAGGCATACAACAGGTATAATAGTCATATTTGACTATTATCTGGAGATTAAAAAATAAACCACCCAATTAATCAACAGGTTAGACATCAAAGCACATTCACTTCTGAATAAGTTATATTGTTATTAAAGTGATTAGTTGCTTAATGAAACAAAATAAACTGTGTATTTTGTGATTCACTTAAGAACCATGATAAAATTGAGACATTTCAGTTCTATTTGTTGCAGAGTAAAATATTTTACTGTGTGCACAGCTGAAGTCATACTTAAAAACACTTGCTTTCAGTGGGACCCTGATTTCTGCTTTACACTTTTTATTAAAACATAGGTACCTTGCAGCTTTGGATGCAGAGGATACATTGAAATAAATACACAAGGCAATAGAACTGTGTTGATACTTGATTTGGAGATTTGATTCAAAAGTGATTTGATAGATTCAAATGTTCAGTTTGAACTGAATTGAATATCAGAATCGATCCTGATGCAGTTTGAAAATTTCACAGGTTTTTATATATGTGCAAATGTATTTTTTCACCTATGACAGTGGTTGAGCTGTCAGTCTATAATTCACTTGTTCTCAGCCCAGGGTTAATGAGGAAATAAAATGGAGATTCTTATACCTTGAGCCTATAGAAAAATGGAGGGGACAATTCTGACAAATTAATAATGAACCATATAGATCGCATTTAGGACAGTTGAAAGTATGGATCTGATACATTTTTCAAATAGATTTAAAATTTTAAATCAAATATTGAACATTTGAATTAGATCAAACCTTTTTCACACACTGTCAGCCCCTCAAAGTAGACTATTGTTGTAGGATATCATAACATAAATGTGAAAGCCAGGCCAATGCCAATTTTGACATTCCTTCCCATTTTTGTGTGGCAAGCTGATGTTTTCACAACAATAGGTAGTTGTTGCATAGCATCTTCAAGACTACCTCACTGCTTCTTTGTATATATCCCTACAAAGTAGTACATTTAATACTGGGGTGGAAAATCTGAATATCCATATGAATACAAACTTGAATAACCATTTGTAGAGGCTAATGGGATAAGATTAAGCCCTGAAAGTTTGGAGCATATTTTCCTAAGACTAGGAAGACCCAGGACTATAAAGCTCATGCTCAGTCAGACTAACTGATCTCATGAGGTTCTGGTGGGAAAAAAACCTGGAGAATGGAATGCTGTGTATATCACCCTATGGAAGAAAAAGTAAGACATACATCTAGAAAGAAATATACTCCTTTTAAATAATTTACTCAGGAAACTCCAAAACTATCCTATGAGGAGTATTAGCATTGAAAAAAACAGAAGTGATGGCAAGAGTGTATTGAATATTCTATTATATGTCAGAATTACAACTAATTTGAAGAGTAACGATTAAGTGATCTTATTTGAAACAAATACTGAGATCAAATACAGGTCTTTTAAGCAGTTGTGAATTGTGTATATGAGTCAGCCTTTAATACTTTAAATTCTTGTGATATATACCACTTCTGTGGGAGGAACTATCTATGTATCAGTAAATAAGAATTAGATCATTGCAATTAGTTCTGAGGTTAGTCACATTTCAGTTTGTATAGATTTTTAAGAAAAAAAATGCACTCTGAGAATGTTTAGGTTCTGTTTCACAAGATAAAAACCAGCAGATGGTATAAGGGAAACATATCCAGATGGAAAATGAACATTAATAAAAATCAAAATATGTTGGGGGTGTTGGGAGGAAAAGAGAGTATAAAATAGAACAATTGAAATCAGTGGTGATACTGAAAATGATGGTACTTTTCTTGTCCTAATAAAATTATTAGGTCTGAATGAACTGGTTGATCTACCCCAACATGATACTTTTTTCCCAGGAAGGCAGCAGAATTTATTTTCTTCAGGGAAAAAGGCGTGCATATTTTGTGTCTGTGAGGCACCTGCTTCATCTCATCCTTGTTTTTCTTTAATTCTTTTGTAGTACTTTTAAAAACTTTAAAGAAGTTTTTGCAAACACTAAAGAAAGAAGAGAAACAAAGCAACATGGAAACGTTATTTGCTTTTGGAAGAGAAGTGGTTACCTTGGTTCATGAAACAGCTTTGAGGGGGTGATGGGTTTGAATTGTTGGCCGAAGCAAAACAGCCGTCAAAACTTTAAAACCCATTTAACAGGAATAAACATTATATCATTTTCTGGCCAATTTCTATTGGAAATACAAATCCTTGAATTCCAAATATGGCCTTAATCAAACCTCCTTCCATAAATTCTGTAGAACTTATTTCCAGATGCACATATATAATTACAAAATCCAATTAGATTTGCAAAGAGACAAAGTATCTCTTTTGCAACCTATTTTTAATCTTTGGGATTGATCTGTATTTTATGTTTGTCCTGTTGTCCTGCTCTCTAGGAGGCATCTTATATAGGGCAATAGATTTTGGGTTTGGTTGTAGCAATAACTATGTCCAACATTACAATACTATAGACACAACATAGATAGATACAAACATCAGTAGCAGAACACATCATTGGATACCACCCAGAGTCAAGTACTTGACAGCATTCTTAGAGACTAACACAAAACTAGAAAGATGTCATTTGTGTTTTCATTAAAAAAAAAAAAGAGGTTTTGATTTCATAATTTACTCACTTTGATCTATACTCAAAAACCTTTATATCAATATAATGAAAATGAATTCCTTAGTTTTACAACTCTCAAACGCTTCATGCTAATCACAGCAATTATTTAGTAATCTTGTAATTAAATATGACTATTATTTCTTGTTGTTTTTATGGATATTTCACATAATTGTTCCTTATTTTAAAAAATGACAGCTATATTTACCCAAGCACCTGCAAAGTGCAAGATAAGTAATTTTGTGTGTGTGTGTGTGTATGAGCTCCTGGTTCTGCTCAATTAAGCTTTAGCTCCCTTGATTTCATTACAATTTAAGGAGCATAACTTTATGTTAAATTGCAGCTTAATCAACAGAGAGATCCTTTAGCATATAAACAAAAAATGGATTTCAAATTTCTTGCTTCCTTCAATATATAGGATATTGAAATTCCATTTCTTACCAAAGAACGAATTTGAATGTTTTAAGTGATCTTGGCCTAGTTATATACTCTTAGCCCTAGGAAGAAGGTAATGGAAAACCCACTTCTGAAAAACCTTGTCAAGAAAACTTCAGAACTTGTCCAAGAGGGTCTTCAAAAATTGGACATGACTGAAAAGAAAAAAATTAATAAAAGAATATAAAGCAAATATTTATATCCCATCACAATTATGCATTTCCCATAATTTTATCATCCCCATTTAGTTCTAAAATAATGGTGAAATTATGAATGACCTTGCTTCCTCCTAAATATAACTCTTATGGCCTGATCTGATTCCTTAAGGGAGGAACAATAATTAGGCAGTTACAGAATTATCTACAATAGCTCAGGCCCAAAGATAGAAGTTGAGCCAGAATCAGACACTGTAGTCT